CTGAAGGCAATTGGATCCACTAGATTTTAGTTAAGGGTATTAGAGTAAAGGGAGCTGAATACAAATGCACACCACACTTTTCAGATATTTATTTGTAAGAAATGTTGAAAACCATTTACCATTTTCCTTCTACTTCACAATTATGTGCCACTTTGTATTGGTCTATCACATAAAATCCCAACAGAATAAATTTACGTTTTTGGATGTAACATGACAAAATGTGGAAAATTTCAAGGGGTGTGAATACTTTTTCAAGGCAGTGTGTGTGTGTGTGTACACACACACATACACACACAGTGAAGGAAATAAATATTTGATCCCCTGCTGATTTGGAATGTTTGCCTACTCACAAAGAAATGATCAGTCTAAAAATCAAAAAATTCAAAAGAAATATCTAAACAAATTATGCACTGATTTGCATGTTCATGAGGGAAATAAGTATTTGATCCCCTATCATTCAGCAGGATTTCTGGCTACCAGGTGTCTTTCAAACAGGTAACAAGCTGAGAAGCAGTCTCTTAAAGGGAGTGCTGCTAATCTCATTTTGTTACCTGTATAAAAGACACCTGTCCACAGGAGCAATCAAACAATCAGATTCCAAACTCTCCACCATGGCAAAGACCAAAGAGCTGTCCAAGGATGTCAGGGACAAGATTGTAGACCTACACAAGGCTGGACTGGGCTGCCAAACTATCGCCAAGCAGCTTGGTGAGAAGGTGACAACAGCTGGTGCAATCATTCGCAAATGGAAAAAACACAAAACTGTCAGTGTCCCTAGGTCTGGTCCACCATGCAAGATCTCACCTCATGGAGTGTCAATGATCATGAGAACAGTGAGGAATCATCCCAGAACTACACGTGAGGATCTTGTCAATGATCTCCAGGCAGCTGGGACCACAGTCACCAAAAAAACAGATGGCAACACACTATGCCGACAAGGATTGAAATCCTGCAGTGCCCGCAAGGTCCCTCTGCTCAAGAAGGCACATATCCAGGCCCGTCTGAAGTTTACAACTGAACATCTGGATGATGCAGAGGAGGACTGGTTGAAAGTGTTTGTGATCAGATGAGACCAAAATTGAACTCTTTGGCATCAACTCAACTCGCCATGTTTGGAGGAGGAGGATTACTGCCTATGACCCCAAGAACACCATCCCAACTGTCAAACATGGTGGTGGAAACATTCTGCTTTGGGGGTGTTTTTCTGCTAAGGGGACAGGACAACTGCACCGCGTCAAATGGACGATGGACGGGGCAATGTATCATCAAATCTTGGGTGAGAACCTTCTTCCATCAGCCAGGGCATTGAAAATGGGTCGTGAATGGGTGTTCCAGCATGACAATGACCCAAAACACACGGCCAAGGCAACAAAGGAGAGGCTCAAGAAGAAGCACATTAAGGTCCTGGAGTGGCCTAGCCAGTCTCTAGACCTTAATCTGATTGAAAATCTGTGGAGGGAGCTGAAAGTTCGAGATGCCAAACGTCAGCCACCAAACCTTAATGACTTGCAGAGGACCTGCCAAGAGGAGTGGGCCAAAATCCCTCCCGAGATGTGTGCAAACCTGGTGGCCAACTACAGGAAACATCTGACCTCTGTGATTGCCAACAAGGGATTTGCCACCAAATACTAAATCATGTTTTTGTGAAGGAGATCTACGCTTATTTCCCTCATGAACATGCAAATCAGTGCAGAATTCGTTAGACGTGCATTTCTTTTGAATTGTTTGTTGCTATTCTGTCTCTCAGTGTTACAATACATCTGCCATTCGATTTTTAGACTGATCATTTCTTTGTGAGTGGGCAAACATTCAAAATCAGCAGGGGATCAAATACGCATTTCCATCACTGTATGTATAAGAATTGTAAAAAATTGCCCCAGTCGGCTGTCTGCTTCCCTTTAGAAGTGCCTAACTCTTAGGGAGTAGCCAAATTGCCATCTTTGTTGTGGAGAATGCCTAAGCCGAGGTTCACACTAGGCTGATGCATAATTACAAGCTTTTTTCAGTGCATTTTTGTAGCATGTTTTTGCACCTTTTAATGTGCTTTCATGCTTTGTATGTTTTTTGTAAGAAGGAGTCCCGTTGTTCAACATAAAACCCTGCCAAAATCTCATGTACATGCCTTTTTCATGCACTCCTATTAAAGTCTAAAGGGCCATAAATGCACTTTGCGGCACCAAGTTGTAATGATGTAAATGGACACCATATGGAATTTCCATCATCATGCATTGCAGTATGACGGCAGACATAGCAGAAATGTTTATTTGCTGTACTTCTTTTTTCCCCACAAAGTGGAGTTACCCTTTAAAATCAATTCCACATCTATAATGACAGTCAATAATCAGGACTGCTTTTGAAGCCGGGGAATGAAGTTTGTTTCTGGCTCAGACAGTACAGATAGCTGTTTGTTTGGCCAGTGTTTGCTGGGGTGTGCCATCATCCACCCACTTATCCAAAAACATGGTGACTTCATTCTGATGAAGGGCCGGAGCACACAAGAAAAGGTTCTCCTTCCTCCAGTCCTCACAAGTCAGTCCAAAAGCAATGCAAAAGGCAATGTGGTCCTTATTTACAAGAATTGAAACACAGCAAAGTGGAACAGTCTCTCTGGCTCCTCTCCTCACTCATACTCATTTCCCCCCCTCAATCTCCCACACCATACTCCGTTGCTCTCACTCCTCATTTTCCCATATTCTCTGGCTCCTCTCACCCCTCACTCCTTATCTGGTTCCTCTCCATCTTCTCTCACTTATATTCTCTGGCTCCTCTCCCAAACTTCTATCTCTCTTCACTAACCCATACTCTCCAGCTCATTTCCCCACTCACTCTCCAATACTCTCTTGCTCTTCTCTCCTCTCACTCATCCATACTCTCTGGCTCCTCTCCCCCATCACTCTCCCACTTTACCATACTATGTTTGCTCCTCTCCCTCATCCATAGTCAATGGTTCTTCTCTCCCCGCACCTACCTATACTTCTCTCACTCCTCCCCTTACCCACTCATACCTCACTCCTCCAATCACCCATACTCATCCCTCCCGTCACTCTTCCAAACTCTCTGGCTACTCTCCCCCCTCACTCGCTCTTCTTTCTTCACGCTATCATACTCTTTTGCTCCTCTCTCTTTTCACTTACCCATACTCCTCGCCCTACCATACTCCTTTTCATCTCTCTCTTCACTCTCCCATATTTTCTGACTCCTCACCTCTCCCCTCACTGCCCCATACTCAACTCCGCTCACTCCCCCACACGCCTCTCCCCTCCTCTAGCTCTCCCATACACCACTCCTCTCCCCTCGCTCTCCCATACGCCACTCCTCTCCCCCTCGCTCTCCCATACGCCACTCCTCTCCCCCGCGCTCTCCCATACGAGACTCCTCTCCCCTCGCTCTCCCATACGCGGCTCCTCTCCCCTCGCTCTCCCATACGCCACTCCCCTCCTCTAGCTCTGCCATACGCCACTCCCCTCCCCTCGCTCTCCCATACGCCACGCCTCTCCCATACGCCACTCCCCTCCCCCCCATACGCCACGCCTCTCCCCTCGCTCTCCCATACGCCACGCCTCTCTCCTCGCTCTCCCATACGCCACTCCCCTCCCCCCCTGCTCTCCCATACGCCACTCCCCTCCACTCGCTCTCCCTTACGCCACTCCCCTCCACTCGCTCTCCCATACGCCACTCCCCTCCTCTAGCTCTCCCATACGCCACTCCCCTCCACTCGCTCTCCCATACGCCACTCCCCTCCTCTAGCTCTCCCATACGCCACTCCCCTCCTCTAGCTCTCCCATACGCCACTCCCTTCCTCTAGCTCTCCCATACGCCACTCCCTTCCTCTAGCTCTCCCATACCCCACTCCCCTCCCCTCGCTCTCTTATACGCCACTCCCCCCTCCCCTCGCTCTCTCATACGCCACTCCTCTCCCCTCGCTCTCCCATACGCCACTCCTCTCCCCGCGCTCTCCCATACGAGACTCCTCTCCCCTCGCTCTCCCCATACGCCACTCCCCTCCTCTAGCTCTGCCATACGCCACTCCCCTCCCTCTCCCATACGCCACGCCTCTCCCATACGCCACTCCCCTCCCCCCCATACGCCACTCCCCTCCCCCCCATACGCCACGCCTCTCCCCTCGCTCTCCCATACGCCACGCCTCTCCCCTCGCTCTCCCATACGCCACTCCCCTCTCCCCCTGCTCTCCCATACGCCACTCCCCTCCTCTAGCTCTCCCATACGCCACTCCCTTCCTCTAGCTCTCCCATACGCCACTCCCCTCCCCTCGCTCTCTCATACGCCACTCCCCTCCTCTAGCTCTCCTATACGCCACTCCCCTCCTCTAGCTCTCCCATACGCCACTCCCCTCCTCTAGCTCTCCCCCATACGCCACTCCTCTCCCCTCCCCTCCTCTAGCTCTCCCATACGCCGCTCCTCTCCCCTCGCTCTTCCATACGCCACTCCCCTCGCTCTCCCCATACGCCACTCCCCTACCCCTCGCAACTCCCCTCCCATATGCCACTCCTCCCCTCCCCTCCCCCACTCCCCCTCCCATATGCCACTCCTCCCTCCCCCCCTCCCATACGCCACTCCTCTCCTCTAGCTCTCCCATACGCCACTCCCTTCCTCTAGCTCTCCCATACACCACTCCCCTCCCCTCCCATACACCACTCCCATACTTCTCTCCCCTCCCTCTACACTCCCACTCCCTCCCTCAAGCATACTCCGGCCTCTCTCCTCTCACTTTTCCTATACGCCACTTTCCCATAGTCCCCTCACTCCTCCATACTCCCTTCCTCTCCCCTCACTCCCCCATACTTTCTGACTCCTCACCACTCCTCCATACTCCTCTCACTCACCCATACTCCTCTTACCTCACTTTCCCCATAGTTTCTGACTACTCACCACTCCACCATACTCCTCTCCCCTCCCATACTCTTCTATCCTCCGTCCCCGAAACTGCTCAACCGCTCCCCATACTCCGGTCTCCCCGAAACTCCTCTCCCCTCACTCACCCACACTCCCAGGCTGTCATTGACCAGGTAGTGGCCTAGTTCCAGCACCAGGTCCCCGGTGTCTTCTGGCAGTACTGGCCGCTCCTCCGGGGCCTCTTCCTCCTCCTCCTCCAGCTCCCCGCTCAGGCTCCGGTAGGCGCTCAGTAGGCTGAGGCCCAGCAGTAGGCCGCTCAGGCCGGTGTACGTCCGCAGGCTGGGCCATGGAAAGCTCCAGGAAGAGAAGCGGCATGTCTGTGAGATCCCGGGGCCCCTCCGGGCGGACGAGCTAGGTGACGGGGGGTGAAGTGTAGAGATGACCGGACGGGGCCCTCCGGAGAGCCAACCACCGCGTCCTCCCCTTTCACCACACCGCCTCCGCTGTGTTTACCATTCCCACTGCGCCCCCTGCCGGCCGCCACACTCCTCCACACCGGAGAGGAGCACGGAGGTGTCAGCCGGGTGACAGCTGATCACATGACCAGCCTGGCTTCTCCGCCGTGCAGGCGACTCTCCTGACACTCACTGATCGCCACATAGGGCCTGTCTGTGGGGGGATTGTATGATGAGTGTCTGACAGTGAGGACTTCGAGTGTGACCCCTGACATCCCCAGAGGGTCAACGTGATATTTTGCCGCAGGAGTAGGCAAGGGCGGTTTTTTGCCACAGGAGTATGCACGGCAGATTTTGCCGCAGGAGTAGGCCCAGCGGATTTTGCCGCAGGAGGAGTATGCACGGCAGATTTTGCCGCAGGAGTAGGCCCAGCGGATTTTGCCGCAGGAGTATGCATGGCAGATTTTGCCGCAGGAGTAGGCCCGGCGGATTTTGCCGCAGGAGTATGCAAGGTGGATTTTGCCGCAGGAGTAGGCCCGGCGGAATTTGCCGCAGGAGTATGCATGGCAGATTTTGCCGCGGGAGTAGGCAGGGCAGATTTTGCCGCGGGAGTAGGCAAGGCGGATTTTGGCGCATAAGTATGCACGGCGGATTTTGCTGCCGGAGTAGGTACGGCGGATTTTGCCGCAGGAGAAGGCAAGGCGTTTTTTTGCCGCAGGAGTATACACGGCAGATTTTGCCGCAGGAGTAGGCACGGCGTATTTTGTTGCAGGAGTATGCAAGCCGGATTTTGCCGCAGGAGTATGCAAGCCGGATTTTGCCGCAGGAGTATGCAAGCCGGATTTTGCCGCAGGAGTAGGCAAGGGGAGATTTTGCCGCAGGAGTAGGCACGTCGGATTTTGGCCGCAGGAGTAGGCACGTCGGATTTTGCCGCAGGAGTAGGCACGTCGGATTTTGCCGCAGGAGTAGGCACGTCGGATTTTGCCGCAGGAGTAGGCACGTGGATTTTGCCGCAGGAGTAGGCACGGTGGATTTTGCCGCAGGAGTAGGCACGTGGATTTTGCCGCAGGAGTAGGCACGGTGGATTTTGCCGCAGGAGTAGGCACGGTGGATTTTGCCGCAGGAGTAGGCAAGGTGGATTTTGCCGCAGGAGTAGGCAAGGTGGATTTTGCCGCAGGAGTAGGCAAGGTGGATTTTGCCGCAGGAGTAGGCAAGGTGGATTTTGCCGCAGGAGTAGGCAAGGTGGATTTTGCCGCAGGAGTAGGCAAGGTGGATTTTGCCGCATGAGTAGTAGCACGTCGCAGATTTTGCCGCGGGAGTAGGCAAGGCGGATTTTGGCGCATAAGTATGCACGGCGGATTTTGCCGCCGGAGTAGGCACAGCGGATTTTGCCGCACAAGAATGGAGAAGGCAAGGGCGTTTTTTTTGCCGCAGGAGTATGCACGGCAGATTTTGCCGCAGGAGTAGGCACGGCGTATTTTGTTGCAGGAGTATGCAAGCCGGATTTTGCCGCAGATTTTGCCGCAGAGTAGGCAAGGCAGGATTTTGCCGCAGGAGTAGGCACAGGATTTTGCCGCAGGAGTAGGCACGTCGGATTTTGCCGCAGGAGTAGGCACGTCGGATTTTGCCGCAGGAGTAGGCTCGTCGGATTTTGCCGCAGGAGTAGGCACGTCGGATTTTGCCGCAGGAGTAGGCACGTCGGATTTTGCCGCAGGAGTAGGCACGTCGGATTTTTGCCGCAGGAGTAGGCACGTCGGATTTTGCCGCAGGAGTAGGCACGTCGGATTTTGCCGCAGGAGTAGGCACGTCGGATTTTGCCGCAGGAGTAGGCACGTCGGATTTTGCCGCAGGAGTAGGCACGTCGGATTTTGCCGCAGGAGTAGGCACGTCGGATTTTGCCGCAGGAGCCGCATAGGCACGTCGGATTTTGCCGCAGGAGTAGGCACGTCGGATTTTGCCGCAGGAGTAGGCACGTCGGATTTTGCCGCAGGAGTAGGCACGTCGGATTTTGCCGCAGGAGTAGGCACGTCGGATTTTGCCGCAGGAGTAGGCACGTCGGATTTTGCCGCAGGAGTAGGCACGTCGGATTTTGCCGCAGGAGTAGGCAAGGTGGATTTTGCCGCAGGAGTAGGCAAGGTGGATTTTGCCGCAGGAGTAGGCAAGGTGGATTTTGCCGCAGGAGTAGGCAAGGTGGATTTTGCCGCAGGAGTAGGCAAGGTGGATTTTGCCGCAGGAGTAGGCAAGGTGGATTTTGCCGCAGGAGTAGGCATGGTGGATTTTGCCGCAGGAGTAGGCATGGTGGATTTTGCCGCAGGAGTAGGCATGGTGGATTTTGCCGCAGGAGTAGGCATGGTGGATTTTGCCGCAGGAGTAGGCATGGTGGATTTTGCCGCAGGAGTAGGCATGGTGGATTTTGCCGCAGGAGTAGGCATGGTGGATTTTGCCGCAGGAGTAGGCATGGTGGATTTTGCCGCAGGAGTAGGCAAGGTGGATTTTGCCGCAGGAGTAGGCAAGGTGGATTTTGCCGCAGGAGTAGGCAAGGTGGATTTTGCCGCAGGAGTAGGCATGGTGGATTTTTGCAGCAGGAGTAGGCACGGCGGATTTTGCCGCAGCAGTAGATACGGTGGATTTTTTTCGTTACAAATTGAAATTCGGATTACATTTTCGCTATATTGAGATTTGGATGTGTCAGAATTTCTGTATCACAATAGTAATGAATTTCAATGAATCTGAAATAAATTATCATTTTATTTATTACTGATACTTATATACAGGTGTACCTCAGCTTATGAATGTAATGCGTTCTCCGGCACATATCGTATTGTGAAAAATTTGTAAACAGAAATGCGGTTTCCCATAGGAATGCATTGAAAACCAATGAATCCGTTCTGGAGGTCAGAAAAAAGTAAAAAAAAAAAGTCACTTGTCACTTTAGGTCAGTGCCGATTTTTAAATGTAATTACCGGCTTTTTTTTTCTTCACTACAGCTTAGAGCAGCGGTTCTCAACCTGGGGGTCGAACGACGCTTCCACAGGGGTCGCCTAAGACCATCGGAAAACACATATTTCCGATGGTCTTAGGAACCGAGACACCGCTCCTCGCCGCCGCCGCCGTCTCCAGGTGTGGGCGGGATGACATGCCGCCCCTGTCATCTGGACACACCTCGAGATCAATCCTCGCCTGTGATTGGCCGCCGACACTGTAGCTCAGGAGAGGCACACAGGCGGCCAATCACCGGCAAGGAGGTGGAGCTTGGAGAGGAGGAGCCGAGCGGCACCGCGAAGATCGAGCGAGTGAAGAGGAAGAGGAGGAGAGCGGCCGGAGAAGGAAGACATCTGACAGGTAAGTGTCGGTACCATGGGAGAGGGAGGGAGCGAGCGAGCCCAGGCTGGAGCAGGGGTCTGCAAGGTAAGTATCATTGGTGTCAGTGGGAATAGTGCCCCATCATTGGTGTCACTAATACCAATGATGGGGCACTATTCCTCCCACTGACACCAACGATGGGACACTATTCCTCCCACTGACACCAATGATGGGGCACTATTCCTCCCACTGACACCAACGATGGGGCACTATTCCTCCCCCAAATGACACCAACGATGGGGCACGATTCCTCCCCCCACTGACACCAAGGATGGGGCACGATTCCTCCCCCCACTGACACCAAGGATGGGGCACGATTCCTCCCCCCACTGGACTGACACCAAGGATGGGGCACGATTCCCCCCCTGACACCAAGTGATGGGGCACGACCTCCCCCCACTGACACCAGGATGGGGCACGATTCCTCCCCCCACAACACCGAGGATGGGGCACGATTCCTCCCCCCCTGACACCAAGGATGGGGCACGATTCCTCCCCCCACTGACACCGAGGATGGGGCACGATTCCTCCCCCCACTGACACCGAGGATGGGGCACGATTCCTCCCCCCCACTGACACCGAGGATGGGGCACGATTCCTCCCCCCACTGACACCGAGGATGGGGCACGATTCCTCCCCCCCCACTGACACCGAGGATGGGCACGATTCCTCCCCCCACTGACACCCCCCCAGGATGGGGCACGATTCCTCCCCCCACACCGAGTGGGGCACGATTTCCTCCCCCCCCACTGACACCGAGGATGGGGCACGATTCCTCCCCCCACTGACACCAGGATGGGGCACGATTCCTCCCCCCACTGACACCGACCAAGATGGGGCACGATTCCTCCCCCCCACTGACACCGAGGATGGGGCCACGATTCCTCCCCCCACTGACACCGAGGATGGGGCACGATTCCTCCCCCACTGACACCAAGGATGGGGCACGATTCCTCCCCCCACTGACACTGGGGCACGATTCCTCCCCAACACCAAGGATGGGGCACGATTCCTCCCCCCCCACTGACACCGAGGATGGGGCACGATTCCTCCCCCCACTGACACCGAGGATGGGGCACGATTCCTCCCCCCACTGACACCGAGGATGGGGCACGATTCCTCCCCCCACTGACACCGAGGATGGGGCACGATTCCTCCCCCCACTGACACCGAGGATGGGGCACGATTCCTCCCCCCACTGACACCGAGGATGGGGCACGATTCCTCCCCCCACTGACACCGAGGATGGGGCACGATTCCTCCCCCCACTGACACCGAGGATGGGGCACGATTCCTCCCCCCACTGACACCGAGGATGGGGCACGATTCCTCCCCCCACTGACACCAGGATGGGGCACGATTCCTCCCCCCACTGACACCGAGGATGGGGCACGATTCCTCCCCCCACTGACACCGAGGATGGGGCACGATTCCTCCCCCCACTGACACCGAGGATGGGGCACGATTCCTCCCCCCTGACACCGAGGATGGGGCACGATTCCTCCCCCCACTGACACCGAGGATGGGGCACGATTCCTCCCCCCACTGACACCGAGG